ACGCCAGAAGTGATATTTTCAGACGGTTTAAGTTTCTCAACGACCGATGGTCTGAGTGAATATCTGGTTTGAATGCCATTTATTTATGTTTATGTCATAGCAGATGTAGGGAGAAGGTTTTGGACTATAGTTTGAACCGGCGTTGAAATGTAGTGGTTGTTAGTTTTCTCAGCTTAGGATTTCCAGCGTTGAGTGCTGTTGAAGTTTCCGCCTGATCTTGAAAGCGTAGCTTCAGGAATTTGTCGTTCCAGTGTTATTGTAGAGAAGCAGAATATTCATTTTAGCCATTCTGCTTGTCTGTGACCAAGGCGCTTCTCAGATGGTTGCTGACGCGAGTCGGTGCCGGAGCTTTGTTTCCATGGTAAACTAATGGTTTCTACATAATGTCTACTTGGCATTCCGGTGGGTTTGTGAGATGCACGTAGGTATGATCACTCTTGATGCATTTTCTGCCTTATGCAAGTTTACTAGGCCGTACGGACGTATTACCAATAGCGATTCCGGATTCGAAAGTAGTTACAGGAAAAAAAATTACTCAGGAGATTGTGTCTACCGGTGTAATGATGCTTTTCAGTAACCATTAAGGGAGTTAATGTTTTTTCTCGTTGTTTGTGTTGATTTTTTTGTTCTTGTATTCTTGTCGTTTCAGTATTGCAATTTTTCTTCCTTTGTCCGTTTACGGAACAGCAAGAAATTTTTTTATTGATATCCTCTAATTCATACGGCTTGGTAAATTCATTCTGACTTTGCGCTACGAACTTGTAAATTCTCTAGATTTCCGATTTAATGGTTTAGAGCACAAACTAAGGCAGATGGTTGATGTTAGGATAGGATTTTATTATATAATGGTCAACGTTAAGGCCACAAAACAGAGGCTCTCTTCGGGACGATGCACAAACAACAAGTGTTGCAGTAATATGTAAGACGTAAAACAGCTTTAATTAGCGTATGCAGTAGACTCCAGGCTTTGGCGACGTCGAAGGAAGTTGTGCAGTTATTATACAGCTTCTTTTTCTTATTAGCTGAGATGTAGAGTGATTACGTGATCACCAATTTGACTTTATCCTCTTCGTTGCCGACCACTGAACATTGTCTTGTCTACTGGATGACGACCGTGTTCAAAAACGTGGGCAACTAAATCGGATTGTTCTGAGGGACGGTTCACAATGGCCCGCCTGTATTCATCTGTTCAAATTTTCAAAGTTCTTCTAGTCTTTCCGGTACAAATTCGTTTACAATTGCTACGTTGAATGGAATAGGCTACATTCCTTTTGTTTAGTAATGACAGATGTTGATCAAGTTTATTGTGAGGCATAGAACCTAAAATGAGGCCCATTTATTAGACCATGCTTTGCGGTCGATCTTCGTATTGTTTCAGATTTGCCGTAGGTATATGAAATAATGATTGAGTTACTGAAATTGATCTTTGGAAAGGTCCTTGGATAGAGTGCTTGAGTAAAGAATCAACTGAGCCCATTGCGTTCTTTCATTTAGGTCAGATTCTTCATTTCATAACTTGAAGGCTATCACAGGTGCTGTTTCTCTATTCATGGTTATATTCGTAACATTTCGTATCATCTGTTTTTGCGAAAACGCGGCGTCTTCAGGAACTCTGCGAAAGCCCTTTTCACTGTCTGTAATGAAGCCAAAAGTTGTTGTCTTGAAATTACTTCAGCTAAACAAAAATAATCTTCAGATTGTAGAGCTTCTGTTAATATCATAAATTGTAAAATTAGATGAACAGCTTACACTATTATTTTCCATTTATCACTTAATGTTTTACTACTGAAGTCAGTTATAACAACTTTTCGAATGGATGGCTGCCGATCGTAAAATTACTACAGTAGTTATATGTAACTTGGTTCATATCATTATTTGTGGAAGTATACTGTGCATCTGATTGTGTGCGGTAGGTCTTGAAGAAGAGTAACATTGATCACGGGATGAAATATTGACAATGGCAACATCTTGAAAGTGTAAACGTTGTTTAATGACACTGTTGGCTTTGCTGTGCTGTAGTGGAACTAGTTATCGTTTCCAAGCTTTGTTACTTCGGTACCTAATACGTAAATTTGTTTTGGACGCATAATAGGTTTGTCTTAAGGCACAAGTGAGCAGAATGCAGTCATCAGTGTCCCATTGCCTGATCTTAGTTTCGTATGGTGTTTAACGGTAGCAAATCGTTGTTACGGGCTTAAAGTAGCTGCTTGACGGCAGCTTCCAAGATACTTGTGTACTTGTGCTTTTCTGCAATTTAATTTTTATAGCGAATGCTCCATGTTAAAGTGGTCCACGGTGTGGTCCATCCGCTTCTCACGTGCGCCGAAGCTAGTCCCAGTTTACGCCTTTGCGTGTAGTAGGCACGACTGCTGTTGGTTCACGGAAACCATATATTAGGCGGTAGATCGAGGTTTTGTTGACGGATGGTTGGGTCTTGGTATAGATTTTTGATTGATGATTTGCTGATTAACTTTATTAATTTTCCATATATTCTAACATATGGATTGTGAAAAGTACGACCCTGTCATTATTTATTCGATCTGACTTTCGCCATTTGCATTAAGACCGTCACCCGACAGAATTGCTATAATACACATTCCAAATGAAACTTGTTTTAGGACAGCGACGCGTCTGACAAAGAATCCGTTGAAAGTGGTGAGTATGTGGTGATTGTATCGTCATTTTCAGCATGTCATATCGTTCCTGCGTTTGCAGAAGGCCATGAATCTGGAAGATCAAAGACCCCACCCGAACTACCGGAGGAAAGTTCGGAAAACGCTGCAGAGTCCCAACAACCATCTCAGCCGACCCAGCAGGCGCCCGAAACGCCGGAGGGAAAAGATACATCATCCGACAAAAGTGAAAAGAACGAAAAGAAGCCGCCGATGCTGCTGCACAAGACAGCCAGTATTTTTCTCAGGAATCTCTCTCCCGCAATAACCAAGCAAGAAGTTGAGGCGGTACGACGAGCTGTTGTTTTATGTTTTGTGCTTTTGTGATTCACTGCTGTT